TTCAAACTTCCTGCAGTCCCGCGTGGATTAGAAGCCAATAACAGATGAGCATAGAAAGGAAACACACAGCTGCATTTTGGGGCTTAAAAATAAATAAACAAATACATAAAAACGACAACTCGAGCTTACTCACCTGGAACAACCAGTGGAAAGTCTCTCCGACCAGTGGCCAGCCCATGGAGCCTCTCGGCAGCGGCAGGCGGCTCTCTTTGTCCCGGGTCAGACTCCAGCGGAGGCTCCACAGCTGCCGGGTCAGTGCCAGCAGCAGGACCGCGGAGAGAAGCGAAGTGAGCGCGGTGGCCAAGGCCGACAGCACTCCAAACTGAGGCAGGGGCAACATCTCCTCCGTGCCGGTCCGTTTCCCAGCATCCACCTGTGTCTGCGCGCTGAAATTGTCTGGGCTGTGCGTAAAGCTCCGGAATTCTTTTCCTCCTTTTTCCTTTTTTTTTCTCTGGTCTCCTGTAAAAGCTGCCCAAATAAAATAAAAGGTCCGGGTGTGTTTACCCTCCGCTGCCCCAGAAATTACTCATTCAGCTCATCTCCGGAGAGAGCCAATATAAACTGTTATTACAGCTAGTTAGACCAAAACAATGACGACCATCACGCAGAAATATGCAGAGATGGCGCACACGTCTGCGATCATTTTTTCCAATTAAAACAAACTGTAGAGTGCGTCTCTTATAGCCTGACATTATATTTAAAGCTGCGTGCACGTTAGAGAGTTTGCGCAGGCAGACGCACCTTTGAAAGAAATAAAAAGCCGATCATTGCGGATGGATGCGCCTGCACACACTCACACTCTGACTCTGGGCTACATGACAAACGTGCTGCTCTCCTGCGAGGAAACTCCCCTTCATTCCGCTGTCGCTGCTCCTTCAAAATGAGGAGTAGCTGTCAAGTATTCCAAATAGTTTTACAGGTTTGCGTGCGCCAGCTTGTCTATTAGGTTATGCACCTTTATAGGTACAGTTCAGGGGGCTCAGCCACCCTAACCCCCCGGGCGGCACGGAGTTTATAGAGCAGTGGCAATAAATCAGGTTTTAAAAAGAGGCAGAAGGAATAAAAGAGGGATTTGAATACAGTTGACTACAGTACGGAGCGAGGGGGAAAAGTTCAGCAAATTGCTCTCTAGCTCTGATTTTCCCAGTAAATGAAGTAAGACGTTAGAGAGTTCGGTCCTTTTCAGATTCAAACTTACCTCCAAGCAGCTTCCTCTGAGCGCACGGTGACAGAAATCCGTTCAGGGTTTGGGGGAAAGTTTCTTTCTCGGCTCCTCTGAGAGAGACCGATGCCTGCTCCTCCACAGTGAGCGGGCTGCAGGGGGTTTTATAGAAAAAGCAGCGTGATCCACCTTCAATTGTGACGTTGGTTTGAATATGTTAAAAGGGCTCGGTGTTTCATTCACAGCGCTGCAGAGAGAGAGGGAAACAAGAAAGAGGAAAACGTTTGGAGAGACGCAGCAGTGCGTCCTCAGTCTGTGTGTGTGTGGGGGGGCAGCGAGTGGAGGGGAAATCTGCAGGTATCCAATTAGTTGTGCAAAGGTTTCAGACGGGAGCTCCGTTTAAATTCAGAGCGAAGAAAATGGATCAGAGGCAAAAATTCACGACTGCGTTCGACTTTAAGTTTTCCAACAAATAACAAAGAAATCCGCGCATTAAATGCGCAAGATCCAAAGTTTTCCCAATATTTTTGAATTCATTTCTTTAAATTTCAGCGATACATTTTGATCTTTAATCCTCCAGAAAGAAACAGAAGCTCCCCCGAAATCTATGAGCCAGAATTACAGCAACAGCCTCATTTAACAGGATATTTCCTCGTTTTTGAATTTGGCCCCAGCAGGGAGCTTCAAATCCCTCCTCGACACTCCAGCAGCACAGTTTTCATTTCCCGGGCAGATTCCTTCAACTTATACAAGGACTGAGACGGATTTGTGACCACATCCACGCAAGCCTCTGTTAACGGGATCCGGTGTGGTTTTAAGGTGGAGTTTCTTAAAAAATTAATAAAGAAGGTAGCACGATTTTAAACACAAACTTTGGAAAGCTTGCTGTCTAGATTTACGATGGATTCGGTCGCAGTCTGTGTGCGCAAAACGGCGCAAAATCAAAATCTGCACTTTTTAATGCAAAAAAAAGCCTCGTGGGGTCACAGCGGGGCCAATCCACCAAACCTCCAGCCTGCTGTCATTTCTTTTGAACACACGTAAACATTTCCTCAGTATTTAAAATCCATTTTATT